CCTTATAAATATAGAAACATAAAGTTTCAGAAGAGTCAACACTAGTAGTTTCTTTATTGAATTCTTTGTCAAAACGGTTGTATACGTTTGTGTTCTAACACTCAAAGTAAACCTCAACTTAACGAAATATGATTTGTAGCATTATTCCAAGTTTGATTTTAGACAAGACTTATACTTACAAGTTTTATACAGCGCTGATAAAGTTCTTTAATAAATTTGGGCAGTTATTTTACTGTTAGAATGATTCCAGCTCATAAAAGGGTAAGCTAAAAATAATCAAAACTAACAAACATGAATACACTCCACTTATAAATCAATGATATTTCTATACTCTTCACATCAGCCTGTGAATATCTACTCACAATATTTTAGGTTTACTGTTACCGTATTAGACTTACCTTCGATAAAGTGCTTATTTTTCTGCCTAAACTAATTATCTTTCCCTAATATTTGCATTCTTATATTTAAGATCGTTTGATGGGAATAATATTTATATCAATTATAATCTCTCTTCTTTCTTTTTTATATTTTGTCCTGTAGACTAACTTTGTGCAGTTTGTGAATCTAATTTTCTCCGGCGCTGTATTTTTGGAAGAATTAGAAAACCTACAAAAATCAGTAAAAGTGCGCCAACATTTTTTTATGTAGAAATTGATTTATGTTTATTGTTGACGGCAGTTTTAAGAATTATAATAGAGATATGGTATGTCATTTAATACTTGGCCTTGAACTCCATAATCGAACTAACATAGTGGTAAGATCTCACATTTAGAAAGTTCCCTTGATGTTTAAAATGTAATTTGGTTACAGTCAAGTTAACTATTATTAAAATATAACGAGTCGCAAGGTAAAACGTTCTGTTACTTGGTAAGGCCAAATAAACGGTTAGTACAGTCCAAAAGAGCCTTTAATGTTAGATTAGTACTATTTAGACAAAGTTTCGAGAGCATTGCCCTCGTTTTATTGTAAGAAACGCTCTAACTTGATAATAATCGGAACATCACAACAATCGTATAAAACATCTTTTTAACTTGTCACGTTCGTTGGTCGATGACCTAGACAGCTATTCAGGAATGTTTTTTTATATACTGTTAACGAGAGTAGTTCGTCACGTGAATGGCAAGATGACAGCTAATTATTTTAGGGTGTTGTCCTACTTTTAAAGTATATACTCATTGGTGGATGATTTGAAAATCTCATTTTTATTTCTCTCACTATAACTATTTAGATTTCGCAACGTAACAGCGTATGTACCAGTGTTTAGAGCCGAATAGTGGCCACATTTAAAAAAATAAATTATTTATCAAGTTTTGTATATCACGTTGTTTAACGAATGAATAAAAGTCTTTGAGTCTAGATATTTTAAATATATTACACAGTTATGTATGCTATAAAAACTTATAATAGTAGAATATTTGAGGTATTTTAGCTGACAGTGTTAAATCTTGAGGAGAAACAATTTAACAAATGTTTAGGCTCATTTTCACTGATATAACCATAAAAATTGAAAGTTGTCCTATTTTCTTCTTTTTTTCTTTTTTTTGCGAGCAAACATGGTTGCCATTTTGGGCGTTCTTTATCAGAAACAGTAAATTGTACATTTTAAGTCGTGTTTTAAATTACACGATTGATTTCTAAAATTTATTATTTTTGTAGTTTCGTGAATCTTTACGAATAAAAGGTTATGAATAAGCTGTGATAATCAGAGTTGTAGTTTACTTTCATATAAAGTGTCACTGGAATTAATAATTAAGTTTAACAAGTGTCTTGGAATCTGAACATTTTAGTAATCTCCACGACGTTTCGTTATTATTATTTCTATTTCTGCCTTCCCTTAGAGTGAGATTATCCAGAGTTAAACTATTTTAAAGTGTTTTATCTAAACTGCTTAATATAATTATATATGTATATTTCTATATGCAATACACGTGGAATTGAATCTACAGTCATTTTTAGTGAATACTACTTCGCTACTTGCATTTCGTTTGTAATTATACAGCCTTCGTGAAATAAAACTTAAATTTCTGTTCGTTTGTTTGTTTCGATGCAAAGCCACACAATAAGCCAGCTGTCTATGCTCTGTCCACCGCAGAGAATCCAATCCCGGATTTTAGCGTTGTAAGTTCGTAAACTTACCGCTGACTCACCGGGGGATTCATCCTCCTTTTGCATATGACTCTTGTTGAACTTCCCACTAAAACAATCACAAATATAATTATTTTCTTAAATGTATTGCGGTGAACACATAATAGCTAGCCCCTCAGTGGCACAGCGGCATGTCTGCGGACTTACAACGCTAGAATCCGGGGTTCGATACCCGTGGTGGGCAGAGTACAGATAGCCCATTCTGTAGCTTTGTGCTTAATTACAAACAAACATAATAGCTATATAAAGTTTAATAACAATTGTTGAAGAACAGGTAAAAACTTTTTTCAAGGCTAGCTATTGTGTTTCAAAACCTATGGAATGTCGTAACAAATACTGCATTAACATTACTTCAAAATGCATCAAATTTTCATGACATACTGCTCCTGTCAATTATGAAATTTTAGAGTATGGAACGTATTAGCATGGCACTTAGCAATAATATGTGTGTAATATAATACCACAATATATCTTACCACACCATTCTTTACTGGTTCAATATGATGTATATAATTATATATATTGTTACTAAGTGATAAATTGGCGTAACTATATATGTCACTCATTGTTTGGAAGTGTATCAACGTTAAAAATTAAACTACGAATAAAATAGCCGATTTTTGTCCTAGTTTACCAAACCCAATTTGGATGTTGAAAATTCATTATAAAGTTTTTACATGGTTCAAAACAATCGTGTTTCATTAATTGTATCTTCCATAAACAGAACTTTCAGTCAAAACAAAAGCAATTCAAGTTAGATTGTATCCTGATAGGCTTCTTATGTAAACTTGGGTCTTTTGAATGGAAGACTCTTAATCATCAATGGTGCTCTTGTTATATAATTTGTTTGAGGCATATAACATAATATATTCTATATTCCTTTCTTTAAATAAATTAAAATATTAGAAACTGACAATCGAGAAATTCTCAAGAATTCTGTTTTCAGTCTTAAAAACTAGGTGTAGTTGTTTTGTGTGTATTTGTCTTGCCCCCTTCTTTTCAAGCTCAATATTACTGCTTTTAGCTTTACCTAACTTCCTAATCAAGTAGTCTTTTTGTTGTTGTTGAGGTATTTAGTTGTTTTTTCTAGTTGGAATGTTATACTTTGAAGCACATATGTAAAAACGCGAATTAGGTTAATGCCAAATGCTGTCTGTACTCTGACTGCTTAATATACGTTCAGCATTCAAATATAATTTTCTTATATGTGATTTTAGTCAAATATATATTATCATTCGGAGATATGTCGTGGTGTTTCACAAACGCGTTCATCCTAACTAACAGTGCTACGTAAACCTATTGATGCCCACGAGGCTAACTGCAGTAGTTACCCACTTCACACCCGTAGTGTTTTCCATGCTACTGCCCAACTGGACACATTTACCAGAGATGTTGGCGTACCCGCTTTTTTTTTTTTTTCTAACCACAAACACTGCATATATCTTGAATAAAATGCATGAACCGCTTAACAACACGCCGTGATTTCTGATAAACACGTGGCTTTGTCTATAACTGCCATATGTTACACTCGTCTTCGTTTGCCTAGACTCGTTTTTAGATATTGAGCAGTTAACTATGTAAAAAGCTTTCCTCTCCGATACAATACAGTTTTCAAGCCTGTTTGATAACTTGAATAAAGGTGGAAGTGGGGGAAACATTTATGCTGACATAAATGATACAGTTACTATAACTTACATTTCCAGGTTTTAGAAAGTATATCTAAAAACAGTGAAGTATTTAACGGTTAATAAAGATTCGAGTCATAATGTATTATGTTTATTCACTTAACGAACAATGTGCCATTTACTGGCTCAGTACAATGTTATTATGCTATGTTGGATGGATAAATGTTGTTTGTGCTGCAGAAACGAATGAGAATGCATAGAATAATGGTTGCTATTATTTCTTTCTCTGTACTGTCATTTGTAAAAAATAAAATCTAATTTCTTCTTATTTGTTTGTTTATTATTATTTTACTTCATAGTTTGAAGAGCATAGTCTTCTGCCTTGGAGCACACACAAAAAACAACAATAAAACAGCCGAATCACGTTTTCTTAAATTTGAGTGTTAACTATTTAGTTTCAAGTAAATAACATGGTAGTATGAACAATTTAATTAAATGTGTTTGTATTATTGAAAATATTGTTACGTCTCTGTTCGTTAGATAATTTTCCGTAAATTCGTTCCGATGAAACTTTAGCGACACAAGTCCTTTCTTAAATAAAACTGGTTTATTCTTTCCGAATACAACTTTACGATACACTTAATTTCAACAGTCGCTCTATAACAAACACTATAATTCACGTCTCACGTGGCCAACAATATTTTGTCCGCATACATTCAATTACTCATTACCTGTTGTCCCGTCACGTTGTGAACGTCTTATACGAGACTAACAAGACTAACACATGTCTAGTAAATGCTAGGGCATTCATGAAGGAACAGGATATTTCTAGAATGGAGGTGGCGTGATACTAGTCACGTGACCTCGCTGATGCAACAATATCCAAAATTATAACTTACAAACATTACACACACACATATTATGTACTGTTGACAGGGCTAGCTCAACATATAAATAATTGGATAAGCCAGGTAAAGTTTTCAACAACGGTGATCTACCTTTATAAAATACAAAGAATTAATCCCTTACAACTTAAACTCGTAGTGAGAAAACTCATGGGTCAGTTATTGAAACTAAAATAATAATAATTAGTAAGAAAATTGTCCTGAGGATTCCCAAAAATTAAAGAAACAAATACTGTACTGTTAAAGATGTATTCATAAATATTGAAACTATGGTGGTAGTTATGATCAAATCGTA